AGCCCCTCCCTGAGCACACGGACAAGGATAACAACCTCTGGTGAGCGCTGGGACGGGAGATGCTGATGCTCTCTTGTGGGGTCGCTTTGATCCTACCCCTCCTCCCCAAAATTCTCTCCGCAGCTTGTTTGTGCCCGTGGTGAACCTGGAGAAGATTCCCAGCATTCCCAAACCGGACGGGCACGGGATCAAGGTGCCCCCCAAAGCCGTCCCCACCAACTCCAAGGAATCCCTGGGGAAACCCGCGGCTGCCGCGGTGCCCAGAGAGCCCCCGGTGCCGGCCGGGGTCGGGGGGGATTCGGCCATGCCGGAGAGCATCCCTGCTCCGGGGGAGAAGGATGTGGGGGCCCCCAAACCGCCCCCCAGGTCCCACAGGAAGCTGGCGCGTGAGTCCCCCCTTTCCTTGCCGGCCATGGGGGGGAGGCGGATGATCCCAGCGGGACATCCCGGTGCCGGAATTCCGGCAGCTGGGTCTAGCAGTGGGGTAGGTACCAGGGGAGTGGCTCCCCCCTCTCCTCTGGTGGGTTGGGGGGTCCCTGCCCTCCCCCCAGTCCCCATCATCCTGCAGTTTTAGGGCCCCCACTTGACTGCTCTCAAGGAATGGCCACAGCAAGAGTGGGAGCAGAGGATGGATCCCCAAATTCCCACGTGTTCATCCAAAAAAATCAAACATGTGTCCCCCATAAAAATTTGGAGGTAGGACACATGTCCCCCCACAATATGGGGTGTTGAACTTGTGTCCCCCACAAAAACATAAGAATTAGATATGTGACCCCCAAAAATATGGGGGTAAAATGTGCATTTCTCCCAAAATATGAGAGTTGAATGCGTGTCCCCCCAAAATTTTGGCATTTGAATGTGTATCCCTCCAAAATATGGAGGTCAAATGTGCATTCCCCCCAAAATATGGGTGCTAAATGCACGGTCCCCCAAGATATGGGGGTTGAACACATGTTCACCCCAAAATACATGGGTGAAACGTGTGTCCCCCAAAATAAAGGGGTGAAATGTGTATCCTCTGAAAATGTGAGGGTTGAACATGTGTCCCCCCAAAAATATGGGGGTTGTACATGTATCACCCCAAAATACAGGGGTTGGACACGTATCACCCCAAAATATGGGGGCCAAATGTGTTGTCCCTCCCAAAATATCAGGGTATGACACATGTACCCTCCCAAGTATGGGGTTCAAACGTGTGTCACCCCAAAATATGTGTGTCAAACATGTGTGCCACCTCAAAATACGGTGTTTGGATGTGTGCTCCCCCAAAATTTGGGGTTTGGACATACTTCACCCCAAAAGATGGGTGTTGGACGCATGTTCCCCAAAATATGGGAGTCAAATGTGTCCCCCTGCCCCAAAATACGGGAGCCAATTGCTGCTGTGCCCACAGACACACCCAGGTGACAGCAATGCCATTAGCAGATGAAAATGGGGGGGTCACCCCAGGGAAGGAGCAAAAAAGGGGGGAGCTCACCCTGCAGAGGGGCAAAAAGGGGAGGGAGCAGCACATGGTGACCTCCCCCCACACCCCCCCCCAAAACCTCTCAGGGCTGTGTCCCACTCTCAGAGCTGCTCCGAGGGGTGGGTGCTCCATGCCCAGCCCTAGTGGGGGTGTTGGGGTGCCCCCCCAGCAGCCGCTGCCTCCATGTCCCCCCAGGTAAGGAGTGTGACCTGAACCGGCAGTGTGGGGTGCGCAACCCCGACACCAACAAGCTCTGCACCCGCCTGCTGACCTGCAAGGTAGTGGAAAACGGGGAGGGGACACCCCAATTATTCCCCCCTGGGGGTTTTTGGGGGGTCCTGAGCCCCTCCCTGCTGTTGCCCAGATCCACTCGGTTCACCAGCGCCGGGAGGTGCAGGGTCGGGCCAAGGATTTCGATGTGCTGGTGGCCGAGCTCAAGGCCAGCACCCGCAGAGGGGACCCCCCGAAAGACAGGAGCCCCCCTGAGAAGGACCCACTGCACCCTGCCCTGCAGGACACCCCCTCACTGCTGCAGCCCCCCAATACCCCTCCCTGCCGAGCCAGGCTGTCCCACTGCTTGCACCCCACCAGGTGAGTACCCCATGGATTTGGGGGGGTTCCATCTCCTGAATTGGGGGGGATGCATTGAAAGGGCAGGAATGGGAGTGGGGATTTGGGGGGGGTCCATCTCACCCTCTCCCCACCTGAACTGGGGGAGGATGTGGTTTGGAGCAGGGATTTGTGGGGTCCCATCTCACCAGCTGAATTTGGGAGGATGTGGGTGGGAGCAGGGATTTGGGTGGTCCTGTCTCGCCCCCTCCCCACCTGAATCAGGGGAAGATGTGGCTGGGCTGGGTTTTGGGGGGTCCCATCTCCCCTTTCCCCACCTGCACTGGGGGGTGTTAATGCAGAATGTGGGGTCCTGTCTCAGCCCCTCTGCGCCTCAGTTGGGAGGGGAAGTGGATGGAAGCGGGGATTTGGGGAGGGTCCCATCTCACCTTTCCCTGAACTGGGGGGCACATTGCAGGCATTAGGAGTGGGGATTTGGTGTGTGGGGGAGAGTATCTTCTCACAGTGACCCCCCCAGTATCGAGCACCCCAAAACGTCCCCCCCGGTGCAGGGCCCAACTTTCCTCTGACAGTGACCCTGAGGACGCTCCGGCCACCTCTGGGGAGGGGAGCGTGGAAAGCTTCCCCCTCCCCCTGCCCAAGGGGGGCAGCCGCGTGTCCAGCGAGGAGAGCGAAGAGGAGGGGGGCGAGGAGCCCCCCCGGACCCCGGTGCGCCCACCACGGCCTCAGGCGGTGAGTGAGGGGACCCTAGAGCGGGGCAGGGATCCCCAACTCTCCAGCAGCCCATCCACGCGTCCTTCTCCCGGCTCCGTGCCAGGCAGGCGGTGGAGGCGGGGGTTTGGGGGGGCTGCAGTGACCCTGGCACGGTGCCCCCCCAGTTCTGCACCTTCGGGAGCCGCCTGGTCACCCCGGGCTGTTACGTGTTCGACCGACGGCTGGACCGGTTCTGCGCCGCGCTGGGCTCCATGCTGGAGCGGCACCTCAGCGCACACAGGTGGAGGTGAGGGGGCCCCGGGTGCTGAGGGGGACAGGGGACAAAGCCACACGGACACAGAGAGGGTTTGTGCTCCACCCGGTCCCGGAATGCTGTTGGGATTGGTGGGGAGGAGGGGAGCGGGGATCTGGGGGGGTCTTGTTGCACCCTCTCCCCATTCCAACTGAGTGGGGTGAGGATGCAGGGATGAGTGGGAAACTGGNCGAGGATAAGGCGGCGGTGGAGAGGAGTAAAATGATCGACCGCAACCTGCGGGAAGACGGCGAGAAGGCGGCCAAGGAGGTGAAGCTGCTGCTGCTCGGTGAGGAGAGCCCGGCGGGAGAGCGGAATGGGGGTTTCCGGTCTCGGGAGGGGTTTTGCGGGGAGCAGAGGGGCGCCTCTGCCCTCAGGAAGAAGTTTGGGAATGAAGAAGTCGGGGTCCCTGGAGGGGCTGAGGAGGTCCCGAGGGGTCCCTGGAGGGGCTGAGGAGGTCCCGAGGGGTCTTTGGGGGAGCTGGGGAGGGTCCTGAGGGTTCCCTTCCGAGGGAGAGGGCATGGCTTGCGGGAGGCTGTCCTGGGATGCGGCCCCTGGGCTTTTCCCGATGGAATGTCTCCTCCGTGTCCCGATGGAATCTCCCCGTGCTCCCTCCAGGCTGCTCGGGGGAAGGGAGGGCGGTCGCTCCGGGGTGGGATTGGGCCAGGACTGGGAGAGGCACGGCTCATCCTGCGGCTCCGGACAGGGAGGGGAGGGAATGCTGGGGCTGGAATTAAATTCCCAGTCAGGGAGTCGGGGTAAAACTCCGGGTGTCCGTGCGTGTGTGACCAGCGGAGGTGGGACATCCTGGGGGGATTGAGTGCATGGGAACAGGAGGTGTCAGTTCTCTGCCTTTTGGCTTTTTCTCAGGATCTGGGAAGAGCTGGATGGAGGATTTAGATTCCCTTTAACAGAGTTTTGCTGTGTTTGTTTTGTGTTTTGGAGTTCTTGGAAGTGATGATGGGAGCTCAGAGAAGGCACAAACTGCCCTTCCAGGAGACTGGGGGAGCAGATTGAAATGAGATGATGGCAAGCACTTGGATACTATGGAGAAATCCCTCTGTGAGGGTGCTGATGCCCTGGCACAGGGTCCCAGAGCAGCTGTGGCTGCCCCATCCCTGGAAGTGTCCAAGGCCAGGCTGGACAGGGCTTGGAGCAACCTGGGATAGTGGAAGGTGTCCCTGAATGTGGCTGGGGATGGACTAGGATGAGTTTCAAACCCAAACTAGTGCAGGATTCTGGAATTCTGTTCAAATTCTCACATTTTATAAGCACCACTCCGGGCTGATGAACCATCTGCTCATGCTAGTCTCTCTTTTCAAGGTCTGGGTATATATTTTTGGTTATCCTGACTTTTCTGTCTCGGATGAGACAGATGGAGTCTGTGAGGATCCGAACAGCAGTGCTGAGTGGGTCCTGTTAGAGCAGGATGTGTGAAGGAACCATCCTGCTCCAGGAATCCTTTCTCTTTCCCATTTAGCCCATTTTCTCTGCTCCCTGCAAGAGCTGCTCTGAGCTTTGTACTTGGTATGTCAATGGAAAAGCTCTTGGCTGTGTGTCAGGAGAATCCTTTGTTCTCCAGGTGTTTGTTTTGGTGTTAATAAGCAACACTTGCACATTCCCTGGGATGGAATAATTCTTTCCTCATATTTTCGTATTACATTTTTTACCAAAGCACCGAAGGCTTCGAGGCTGAGATTGGTTTTATCGGCAAACATGGAATGGGGGGAGTATCCCAAAAATTGTACAGTCATCAGTTGGAATGTGTTAAAAACCAGGTGAGGTTTTGGAACTCGGAGCAGCAGCTGATTTTGGATCACTGTTGGCTTTGGATGGCAGGAAAATTCCTGCATTTCCTGGTGTGTCTGCAGGTGAGGATCTTTTTAGGAGCAATTGGAATGTTGATCTGGACCTACCTCTGGCTCTACCTGATCCCAGGTTAGGTTTCCACCTGGTTGTCACTTGCAAATCTCTCTCAGGTATTTCCTGGTTTTAAAACTGAGTGTGGTGATTCCTGGGAATACCAGGGAATGCTGGAATCTCCCCACACACATCCTTCTTGATGCAGGTAAAGCAGAACAGGGGATTCCCAGGTGAAATTATCTGCAGTGGGAACATCCTTTCAATGAGGCACTAGAAGCTGATGGAAAAGTCCATGAGGATTTTTCCATTGCTTGAGGAAGGGTTTTTTATCCCACATAAAACTGTTTGGATCTGCAGCATCTTGTGTCGTTCCCTGAGTGGTTTCTGCCCCCCTCAGAGAGGGTTGGTGAAAAAAGAAGGGATTTTTCCTGAAGTTTGGAGTCCACACATCCTTCCCAGCTCTATGAAAAGAGCTGCCCCAGTTTGAGATCTGCGGAGTTTCGATGAGCAAGGAAAGGGCAGTGCCTGTGGAGATGGAGCTGGTTCCTTCCCAGCTGGGGTGTGAGGAGGCTGGGGAGGCACGGATGGACCCAGAATCTGGAGGGAGGGAGAAGAAGGCAAATACAGTGAAATTTGGGAGAGAAGAAGTGAAATACAGCCCAAATCAGGATACTTGGAAAAGGAATCAAATCCACATGAAAATCAGGAGATTGGTGGGAGAGGAGATGAAGTAAAATACACCTGAAATCAGGAGGTTTAGGAAGAGAAGAGAGGAAGGTAAAATTCTTCTGCTGAAAATTGGGAGATTTGAGGAGATAAGAAGAAGCAAAATACAGCCAGAATTGGAAGATCTGAGGAGAGGAGTCAAATACTCCAAAAATCAGGAGACTGGGAGGAGGACAAGAAGTCAGAAATCCCCAAATTAGGGTTTGGGTATGTTTTCTTTTCTCTCCTCCATAACCCTTATCTTCTTTTGAGCAGGGGAGGAAGGAGAGAGAATTCCAGTTGTGTCCCCTTCTTCTGTGAGTTTGACTTTTTCAGCATCTTCCACCTGGGAAAGGGTTTGGATGCTGGAGGAAGTGGCCCCAGCACCTGGATAACTCCAGGATTTCTGGGATAAAGTTAATCCTAGAGCTGTTCCTGGCAGCTTCTCCTCAGGGATTTCAAGTCCCTCTGTTGTGTTTCCCTTTCACAGCTCTGAAGTTTGTTGAGCAGTTCTGTGTTCTGGAGGTATTTTATAAAACAAATGAAACCTGAGTATTGAATAATGACTGACCCTGGTTGTTATGACCCTGTGGGTTGTAATTATTATTCCATGTTGGAATGCCACCAGCACCTCTGATGGCATTGGTACTGGCATGGTCAGGGTGACAGCAACAGTGGATTCACTCTCTGGAACAGCAGCCAAAGCTCCTGGGAGGCTGGGAATGGCTGAGGAGGCTGGGAACAAGCTGGGAATGGCCCAGGAACCCTCACTCCCATTTTTCTCCTCCCATTTGCCCCCAGGAAAAGGCTCCTCGGCAGGCACACGCAGGGTTCTGCTGCTGGGGAGACCTGACAGACTTTTCCAGCCAAGTGGAGGAGAGTACTGGAGCTGTTCCTGGTAGGGCGGGAGCTAACCCAGATCCTTCACTCTGCTAGCAGCGCCTTTTCAAAGGCCTGGCATGCTGTTCTGGGCCGTGTCTCAGGGGTCTGTGTGACCCTGAGTGGTAAAGCTGGATTCCAGAGCTGTCCAATTCCCAAATCCCTGTGTAAACGGTGGTTTTGTGGCTCTGGCTCTGTGGAAGCACCAGTGTTGAACTGTTCTTGCCCAAAACACCCTGTACAGCCTGGACAGCTTCCCTGGGTTTGGATATGCTGTGTAATTACATTGAAGTGGTGCTGCTAATTAATGCAAAAACAATTGAAAATATAAGTTTGTTTTCAAATAACCTTAATTTGCATAATTCACCCTCCTCCACTAGTCCAGGAACTTTTCCCACCACTGATTTTTCCAACCTTTTTTCTTTCCTGAACTCTCCAAAGCTTCCTCAGCACTGTTTTGGTTGTGTTTTGGTTTAAGGTAGGAAGGTGTTTTCTGGGGATAAAAACCCAGGCAGAGCTGGTGCTGCAGTTAATGATGTCGTTAAGTGAAGTGGCATTTCTTGGAGCACAGCATCTGTGCTTTGGATCCCTATTCCAGAGGACCCCTCTGGGGGTCAGACCTGGCTGCTCCTCAGCTCTTGAAATGCCCTTGAAGTGCTGATATGAAGCTCTGTGATGGGGTGTTGGTCTCCAAATATTGTCCAAGCAGTGGCTGCTGCTCCAAGTGTCCTTCCCTGTGGGATCTGCTGTAGGAATCCTGCTGGGGAAGCTGCAGGGAGCTGTTGTTTCTCTGATCTTGAAGGTATCTGGCTCTGCTGGAGGTTGCTGGTGACTTGTGTCCATGGGAATATTCTCCTCATGCAGTTCACAAGGACCTGGATCAGGCCAGATTGCACCAGGAAAGGTTTAGGTTGGAGATCAGGGGATATTTCTTCCTGGCAAAGGTTGTCCAGCCCTGGCACAGCTTGCCCAGGGCAGTGGTGGAGTCTCCATCCCTGGAATGCTCAAAAAACAGGTGGATATGGAAGCTGGGACATGGATTAGGGGTGGACATGGCAGTGCTGGGATATGGTTGGATCTCAGAGGACTTTTCCAACCTTAATGATTCCATGATTATAATTCATTTGATAGCTTGTCAGATCTATTTGAAGACACAGCTCTTCTCTGGGCTTTGAGCTCCATGAAGATCCTTCCACAGCTGCACTGGAGGCTGGAATTTTCTTGTCTTCAGGTGTGGGAGCTGCAGCTTCCACCCATCTTCTCCCACCTTTCCATTGGATCTCTGTGTACCTTCCTCTTGATTTTCTGTTCTGCCCATTTCCCACCAAACCCAGATGGTTTTGGGGCAGGCAGGCAAAATGCTCCTTATGTCCAGAGTGCCTGAACTCCTCGAGTTTTTCAGGAATCATCCATAATTTATTTAATCTCCTGGAAAAGAGGTTCTTTTCCACCAGGGTCAGATGCCCTCTTTCTGCTCAGTGCCATTTTCTAGCTGTGGGATGGGAATTCTTCTGTCCCCTGTGGCATGTGGACATCACGTGCTTGTGTCAGGACACACGGGTGAGTGTCCATGCCCAGCACTGGGATTTGGGGATGGACAATTTCCAGCAG